ATTGTTTTTTTTTTTTTTTCTCATCACACAGTACTAAGGAATTACTAAGGATTTTCAAGCATATGCGACTAACTAAGTACCATAAATTACCATAAAAATAAATATATAAATGAAAAGAGTATATATATATATACACATATATATATATATATATATATATACTTGAGTTATGTTTCTATATGTAGTATATATTATGTATATGTACACACATACGCAAAATTATCTATAATACATACATATATATTATATATATATATAGAAATATATTTTCTAATTGAAAGAATTTTATAAGTGACCATATTTTGCATACGCATTTGTATGCAATTGCATTGTGTTGTGTATGCACACACCGCGGTTGTGCGTGTATACATGTATATCGTCTAAAGAAAGAGAACGTAAGAAATAATATATGCATATGTAGATAAATGAATGTAACGAAGTATATATATTACGTACATTATATTCCATTCAAGTGGTCGCACAGCCAATTATATCTAATTGAATAAAAGGAGAAAGAAAACAGAAAAATTCAATTTTTTGTTTTTCTAGATTACCATTTTTGAAAATTTGGAAGATTTCATTTTTCTTTTTTTTTTTCGAATAACTCAATTATTTTTAAATATTGAGCTTTAAAAAATAAAGAATTATGACGATTGAAAGCAATCGATATAGAAATTATACTTCTGTTTGAAAAAAAATTTGGACATTTCCACATTTGATCTTAATAATGATTTTTTTAAAACTATCATATCACTTTGGTGAATTTCCGTGATTTTATTGAATTCAGGGAGAAGGGATCTCGATGAATTCAATTCACAAATCAATTGGAACTAATTTTTTACATTTCGAATAATTATTCAACGCGTACTTTCTTTACAACTCATATAACGAATCATTCAGCTTCTTTTCAGTTTCGAATAGTGATATTTATTTATTATTTATTACATTAAATAGCATAGAATTTCACAGAATGAAAATCCATATTTTTCACGAATCCAATGATTTTTCAAGAATCATTGTTCCAGAATCGAAATATGCGAGAATACGTTTAAAAATTTCGATCGACGAATGAATGGCAGCTAATAGGTATTAAAAAAAAAAAAAAAAAAAAAAAAAAAAAAAATATTCGAAAATATGATTACACGTTAAGACGTTAAGACGTTTGTCACGAATATATGTTTCTTCCACCTGCGATATCTAAGAAATAATTGGCTGTGTACAGTTAATCCGGATGTAATGTACAAACACACAAAGACACGTACGACGTGCACGACGAGTTTGTTATGCGCACACGTACATAAGCATACGATTAAATAATAGACACGAGTGACGCGAGAAACGGAAATTGTATTGTCTTACAATGATGAGTCTCAAATGCGGGAACTTCCTTTCGTATGTAAGAAACGAAATTAAATTATCGCGACGTTAAAACCTTTTAAGGGATCGATTTCTGTTCGTTTTTTAGAATTTTTATATACGTATAGCTCTAATTTATATTCTGTGTTCTGTGTTATAGAACAGTGAAAGTTGGATAATTGCTCGAAAATCTAAATCGAAAATCGAAAAAGAGATCGAGACGCTTGCTTGCTGAAACTATGTATAAAATTAATAACGTGGAGTTTAGAATTTCTCTTCTTTAGAATATTCTCTTCAATATTAGGAAAAGGATAGTAGAAAGAGAGAAAGAGAGAGAGAGAGAGAGAGAGAGAGAAGACCAAAAATTAAGATAAATATAACATGGATGAATTGAATCGAATTTAAGAATTAGAAGATTTATAAAATTTACATTTATGGAATAGTAATATTGAATTTTTATCATAACTCTATACGGGAACTCTATTCGTAAATTTTGTAAAATATAAAGAAGTACGACGAGTGAAAAATAAATATATGATAATCGTTATTTCAAAGATTATTTATTTCAAAGAGAATCATCCCGAAGGATGAGGATAATTATTGAACAATTATCCAACATCTATTATTAGTTCGTTTCGTGATATTTTAAAAAAAAAAAAAAAATTCCTCCCAGTGATAGGAACGATTATCAAGCATTTATATATATTGTGAATAATCTTGATACGTATCCAACTTTTACTGTAACATAGAGGAGAGACTAATTGTGCAATCTTATTGAACATTAGGAAAATATGAAAAAGTTCCACGCTTATATCTTTCTTATGGTTCTTAAATGTTATATTGTACTCTTTCGAAGAGATATAACGATCGAAGCTAACGGTGATACACATTTACCATCCATTTTAAACTTTCATACTCACGATCAGAATTGCATATTTCAAGAGAAAATATTCCTATGCCACATATTAGTTTATAATGCGCACCATATTAATTGTTATGTCGCTATGATTACTCTACGATTTGTATTATTATTATTATTATTATTATTATTATTATTAATTATTATTATTATTATTACTATTACTATTATTATTGTTATTGTTATTATTATTATTATTATTATTATTATTATCATTATTATTATTATTAATATTATTAATATTTTATCACTATAGTTTAATGTCACGTTAGTACAATTCTTGTCATTTCGAGTCGATCGATGATGCACCATGATAATGCCTCTTTGTTTCATGATGATGATGATGGATCATGATATTATTTATCGCTAACAATTAAAGGAACTGAATAAAGATAGTATTTGTAATAGAAAATAATAAAAAGCGATAAGCTAAACCGTTTATTTAACATTTGATAAAAATTTGAACATTTTTTTTCAGTAATTTAAACATTAAATTATTATTATTTTTTTTTTTTGCATTAAAATTTGTAAAGAATTTACTATTAATCATTTTTCTATATTGTTTTTTTTTTTGAAAAAAATTGTTAAAAAATAAATATCAATCAAAGTATAAAAAAAAAAAAAAGAAAAATATTAAAGATATCTAAGATGCAAAGATTTCTATTTCGAATGCTATTTTTTTCCCCGAGTCTGATAACGAGTTTAACAGAATTTTACTAGCGTACCTACATAAACGAACGAGGGAAACAAAATTGCGATATAAGAAGAAAGATTATTTTCATTTTACTCATATTCTGCTAATAGGCACTAAAAAAAAAAGAATCGTCGAAGAAAATTTGAAATTAACGATTACATTATCCCTCGATCGAGCAGCCACTATACATCTAACATTTCAACATACGCATGAAATACGCGCTCATACGTTTTGCGATATAAAACAGTATGGGAAACGAATTTTTTTAAGCGAATCGGTCTCGTTCGCTAATATTACTACGGTACTTAATTTCTGAGAACAACAGGGTGCAATTTTCTACGGCATTTATTCAATTCTTAATATTCTACAATTTCAACGAAATTTTCTTGATATTATACATATACAAAAAGAAAAAAAAAAGATTATTTTAGAATCTGGAAGAAATTAGATAAAATTTTTTGAAATGACCAGAAGAAAAGAATAGTTTCGAGCGTCGATTTTGTTTGAAACAAATATGTAAATTTCGTAATTGAAACGCGAATGACGAAATATATTATACATAGAAAACTTTAACGACGTTCTAAAAATTGTATACAGCGCTTTTTAAATATACATATATATATATATATATATATATATCTACATGTATATACATATACGTATAATTTGTGTACAAAACAAAAATATAAGCCTTCTAAATAAAATGAGCTGGCCTCTGCAAGCCCTGTTTTACGTAAAAAAAGTTTTTTTATTTCAATTTTTTCCTCTCAAAATTTTTAGAAACAATTTACGTAATTAGAGAATCGATTGTAATATAAAAGATATACAAAAATTTGCAATTTCAAGAAACATTTCGGAGTTTACAAGATTTTCGAAAATAAGAATTTTATAGTAAGAATTTTAAAAAATTAAATTTACAAAAATAGAAATTTTGGAAATAAAAGTTTCAAAAACAGAATTTTTACAAATGAGATTTTTAGGAACGGAATTTTTAGTTATGAATTTCGGGAACAATAAATCCTAGAATAAAAATTTCAAGAAACGATACTCTAAAGATATAAATTCGATGAATATGAATTCTGATATAAATTTTAGAAAGCTATTTTGATTAGAAAATTTTTTTTGGCAAGAATTTTGAAAACGGAAATATGTAATAAATTTTATTAATTTAAATTTAGATTTAAAAATTCTTCTATTAATGAATTATACATCCCTCTAATATATTTTAATTTAATGTTTATTTATTATTAAAATGGATAAATTTAATAAGAATAAAATTAAGAATTTCGAATATATGAAAACTAAATAATAGAAATAAAAACCAGGTTATTATTTAATAGCTTAAATATTCTGAACAAATAAATCTAAAGTATTAATAAAACAGAGACAAATAATTTTATGATACATAAATATAATTTATATGTATAAATTAAAATAAAATTTAATATTTTATATCTTTTATAAAAATTATTTGATTTCTAACAAAAAAATATAATTTTGAATAAACATCAATAAATAAAAGTTAAAAATTATGGAATTAATAGTGATTTATAAATTATAATATACGTTTAACAATATTTCAAAAAACTTTAATAAATACAGATAACCTGTCAAAATATTATATTTTTAAATGAATCAATTTTATAAAATTATCTTATTTTGTTTACCTATTTATTAATAGATAATTTAATATGTTTTATTCCAACAATAAAAATTTGTTTTTTTCAATCAATTAATAAATAAAATCTTAAATAGTACTTAAATTCTTAGGAAAAGATAGTATGTGGATTTTTTTATCCGCGTACATAACATACAAACATAACCTCTTTGTTCTATTCTATTATTTTATATTATTCGAAGAAGAATAAATTTTATATATTTATAACTTGCAACAATTTTTATTTGTAAATAACGTTAAGATTTTTTTTATAATTATTTTATATTAGAAATTGTAAAATATTCAAAATCAAACGAACCTTATTTTTCATTATATATTAGCTAACTTTTGATGATTCTTTTGATATTAAAATAATGCCTAATTTATTTAATGGCGATAATTCCGATTCTGAAAAAGAATTAAAGATAAATACAGATTATGCCAAAAATTATAATAATTGGCGGCAAAAAGAAGAATTAAACAAATGTAAGTAATTATACATATATATAGTATAATTTTATAACCTTTTGTATCAAACTATTTTTGTCTAAAACTTTCTTATATTTCAGTAAAAACAAAATACGGAGATATCAATACAAATGCAATATCGGATGAAAGTTCTGAAAGTGAAAGTTCTGAAAACGAAGAAGAAAATGTATAATAAAATATTTTTACATTTATAAAAAGTTTTATAAATATATATATTGTAATATATTATAATATTATAATATATTATTTAATATATTATAATATTATAATATATTATTATATATTATTTCCTAATTAGATACTTTTTATAGGAGCTGACAGAGCAATTCGATAAAGACTTTTATAAGACATTAGCTCTTTTAAAAAATAAAGATCCAAAAATTTATAATCAAGATATAACATTTTTTAACAATACTAACAAGACACAGGAATTATATTCAGAAAAGAAGAAGCAAAAAACTAAAAAAGAAAAAGCTATTTTTTTAAGAGATTATGAAAGAAAGATTATTGTAGAAAGAGAAGGAAAATTTAGCGATAGTGAAGATGAGAATGCTCAAAAAAAGGATAAAGAATTTGAGAAAATCACATATGTTCAAGAGCAAAAACAATTAAAAGAAAGTTTTAAAAATGCATTGCAAGAAGAGGAAGAGGAAGATGATTTATTAAAACCAAAAATCAAATCTGAAAATGAAAAAGAAAAAGTAAGAAAAAGTAATCTTTTTTATTTTTTATAAAAAAAAAACAGAATTGTTATTTTATTTTATTTGTTTAGGAAGAGGCTGATTATAAAGAATGGTTAAAAGGTCAAAAAATAAATATAAATGAAAATGAACAGGAAGTACTCAAACCTTTACGTGATTTTTGGACAAATCCTAATTTAGATGCTAATGAAAAATTTTTAAGGGATTATGTGCTCAATAATAAATATCTAGACAAAAATTATACAGGACCAGATGACATTAGCAATGAACATGAAAGTTACGCAATTCACGATAGTGACGAAAATTTATCAGAAGATGAAAGAAATATTGAAAAACAAGAACAATTTGAGCATAAATATAATTTTAGATTTGAAGAACCTGATCAGGAATTTATTAAACGATATCCACGTACTATGGAAAATTCTTTAAGACGAAAAGATACTCGTAGAGCTGAAAAAAGAGCAGAAGTAAAAAAAAGAAAAGAAGACGAAAAACTAAGAAAGAAAGAGGAACTTATGCAATTAAAAGCATTAAAGAGAAAAGAAATAGAAGAAAAAATAGAAACATTAAGAGAGATTACAGGAAATGATGATATACAATTTAATGATCTCGATTTGGAAGGTGATTTTGATCCTAACGAACATGATCGAAAAATGACACAAATTTTTAATGATGATTATTATGCCGCCCCCGAGACAGATGTTAAACCTGAATTTCCAGATATTGATGATCAACTAGAAATTGAAAATACGTGGGATGATTATGATCCAAATACAGATAATTATGAAGAAGAAGAATATAAAGAGCCGCACTGCGAAGATGCAGATTTTAATGTAATTTTGTTTTTAATTTAATTATATATTAATTTCAATAAAAGAAATAAAATTTAAATACCATTTTAGATGGATGCAGATTATGATCCATTAAAAAAGATTCAAAAAGAAATAGAAGATCCTAAAAGAAAGAGACGCAAACGAAAATCTAAATTCGCAGAACTTATGGCACAAGAAAAGCCAAAATTTGATCCACAGCAATATAAATCTTATGAAGAATATTTTGATAAGTATTATTCATTAGATTATGAGGATATGATTGGTGATATACCATGTAGATTTAAATATAGAAAAGTTGTACCAAACGATTATGGTTTGACCATGGAAGAAGTAAGAAATTTTCTTTATTCATTATTTATTAATTATTCATTATTATTAATTTTTAAAGATCTTAATTATATATTTTTTATCAGATATTAATGGCTGATGATAAAGAACTGAATAAATGGTGCTCTTTAAAAAAAGCTCTTCAACATAAACCAGATTATGTGGAACTTAATGATGTTCGAATGTTTAAACAAAAAGCTAAAAATGAAACACTTAAAAGAAAGATACTTAGTAGTTTATACAAGTAAGAAAAGAAGAAAAAGAAATATAATTTTAATTATTTTTTTAATTATATTTTTATTATTTACTTATCTGTATTCGATATTTTTTTTTAGAGAACCTGAAGATGAAAAAGAGGAAAATAAAAAACAAGTTGTAAATACTACTAACACTATCAATATGGAAACAAAAAAGAAACTTCGAGAAAAGCAAAAAAATATACAAGGAATAGATACATCTATTGCTAAAATTAATCATGAAACATTAACAGATAATAAAAACCATGATATTAATAAGAAGAAGATTATAAATAATATTGATGAAACACAGAAAGAATCAAAGAAAAATTTAAAATCTAAAGAAAAGAAAAATCAGCAAGAACAGCTTGAGCAATCACAACAAAAGAAATTGAAAATTAACAATCTCAAAGAGTCTATAAATTCTACCAAAAATGAAATGCAAAAAGAAATTACTGATAAATTTATTAATAAAAAATCTACATCTAAAAGAAAAGTTAATGATCAAAATCATAATGAGTCAAATGTCAAACATTTCAAAAAAGCAAAATTAAAGGAAAAGATTATGAAGAAGAAATTCAATGAAAAAAAGAAGAAAAATTTAAAGAACAAAGAAATCAATAGTGATATTGCTTCACTAAATCCTGAAAGATTAAGAATGTATGGAATAAATCCAAAAAAATTAAGAAACAAATTAAAATATGGCAAAAAGAAACAGTAATTATGATATATTATAAATATAAATATATATACAATTGTATATACAATCAAAATGAATTGTTTTTATTTTTTGTTTTTCTTATATCATCATTGAAATAAGAGTATGTATTTATTCAATATCAATAAATACATTTTCAAATAAATATAATTCTATTTTAAGATAAACATTAAATAAAGTATAGAATAGGTCTAAAATTTAATTTGTTATTCCTTATTGCTTTATATTCAGAATTTCTTTCTACTTCATTTGTTGTCGGACTAAACTTTTTATTGTTTAAATTTCAACACTTATTGGAATATCAAAAACTCGCAAAGTATACTATTCTTTACAAAATATCGGAGACAATCAAAAATGTAATATTTATATGTTTTATATTAAAAATTAAAACACAATACACTTTTGAAAGAGAAATAATGAAAATATGATAATCGATATCTCTGATCTTATTTATCATTACGCGCCAAAAACAAGTATAGATAAGAAAAATAAAAATGACAGAAAAATAAGGAAATCAGCGCCATCTCTGAAATGTTTAAATGAAACTAATATAAATTAATATAAGGCTAATAAAGTTACAGTATAGGAATTAGCGCTATTTTTATTCTTTTTATATTATTTGTTTTTCTTATTTATATTTAATTTTATTTACGGTACTCTGAAAATGGTGCTTATAATTCCTTAATTTTTATACTATTCTGTTTTTTTGTTCTATTCTATACTTTTGTATTTGTTCTTCTTCTCTATAAACTAATTTCATTTGCAATATTCTAAAAATAACGCTCTTTTTCTTAAAAAAATATGATAACATCTTATCAGCCATTTTGTTAGAATATTCCATTAAGAAAAGTCAAAAAAAATATTTTAATAATTTCTACTTTAAATAGAAAAAGAGCATCTTTTTTTATTTTCCGAAAAAAAATGTTCCTTTTTTTCCAAATGTTTCATCGTAATATCATATTGCAACTATCTTAAATCATATCGTAAATTTCATAAAGAAAATAATATAAATAAAAAGTAAATTAGTGTTATAAGTATTATTTTTTAAAAAATATAAAGAATAAATATGAAGAATTATATACAGTATTGTATAAAGAATAAATATAAGTAAAAAATAATATGTTAATATAATATTAATATAATAATCGTATATTCACGTTGTTTTGAATGCAATTAATTTGATTTGTAAATTTAATTTGTAACAATTTTATTAATTATGTATATTTTCTAATATATTATATTCTGAATTGATAATGTAACATGTAAAATAATCATATTATATAATTTCCTATTTCCGATAATAAAAAAAAATATTGTATGAGAAATTTATTCCCTATCTAGGTAATCTATGGTAGAATTATTATGTAATAGATATATAATATACAATATGTTTACTATTAGATGATGTCACTTTTATATAATTTTTAATCTAATACTTTTTTGCATATAGTATTTTTTTTTATAGTAAATTTTAATTTTAATAAAGGTAAACATTGATAAACTATTTTGAAAATAATAAATATAAAGTATAAAATTTTGGACTTTTATATATAAGAAATAATGAGGAATTACAATAATTTTTTATTAGGTTATATTTATATCGAATAAAAATGGTTTTTTATATATATTTATTGCAAATTCATTTGGAAAATAGAAAAATACCAAAACACAATTTCCAGATATATAAAATCTTAGTATAGATACTATATTTTATATATATTTCATAAATGCAAATTAAATGTAAATAAAGTATATTATTTTAAATTATTTTTTAGATATGACAAAGGAACAGAACTCAAGAAGTTTATCAAATAACACATTATTAAGTGCAACAGCACATAATATAATGTGTGAAAATGATTTAAATATATTATTGATACAAGAAACTGATAAAGAAATTATAAATATGACAAAAAAAGAAATCATTGAAAATTTATTTTTATTAGAAAAACAATCTCACATAGAATATTTTGTTACTAAACCAGTTTTAAAGCTTATTGATCTTAATTTATGCAATAGTCAACTTTATAATATACCTAATTCTTTAAACATGCTAAAAGAATTGCAATATTTAAATTTAAATAATAATTGTTTATCTTTCTTATCAGATGTAATTTGTGAATTACATCAATTGAAAAAATTATATGTTTCTCAGAATAAGTTGAATCAACTTCCCAATAATTTAGGAAATTTATTAAATTTAGAGGTTTTATCTTTAAATACAAATCATTTAACAAATCTTCCAGATTCATGTGCAAGATTAAATAAATTAGAAGTTCTTTATCTTAATGACAATAAATTTAAATGGATTCCAAATTGTATAAGCAAAGGAATGAAAAATTTGCAAATTCTTGAATTTTCATGTAACATAAATTCAAAATTGGATTTTTATCCTCTGAGTACTAATTTAACTACATTTTATGCAGAAAAAAATAATGTCTGTCTTTCATTTCCAAAATGGATATTGAATTCCAGATATAAGAAACTTGAAATTGTATCACTGAATGAAACGAGATTTCAAACATTAAATTTGCCAAAGAAATCATCTATATCCTATGTTAAAAAATTATTGATGAAACAATGCAATCTTAGCACTGAAGATATTGAAACCATAATTATTGGAATGACAAATCTTGAAGAACTAATAATTGGAAATGGAAAAGTATGTTATCAAAATTTTTTTACAACTATGCCTATTAATACAAAGAAAATTTTATCTAGTCTCAAAATAATTGACATATGTAATACAGGACTTTCAAGCATACCTGAAATAATAAACAAATTTACCAATCTATCTGAACTAAATTTAGGTTACAATAATATCTTTTTCTTGCCAGAAGAAATTTGTTCTTTAAAAAATTTGAGTAGATTGATAATAAATAATAATCACTTGACAAATCTTCCTGAAAATATTGGACAATTGACATTGTTAGAAGAATTAAAATTACGTCATAATTATTTAAATGAATTACCTGAAAGTATAAAATTATTGCACAACTTGAAATATATAGATCTATATAATAATGAATTTGAAATAGTACCAGAAATAATATTTAATTTACCAAATCTGAAAGGATTAGATTTTGAACAAAATTACTTTTCAACTGAATGTTTATGGGTAAGGACATAAGTACAAAAGATATGGTTTCATGATTAAAAACAAGCCAAATTTCATTTAAGATCATCTTGTTAAATTTTTTATGTAATACGACAATTGACATTGCTTATTTTTAAAAAATTATTATGGATGTTCTATATTAATGGATCAAATCAATAGTACACTAGGTGTCCTAATTATAAAGATATGAGAGATACTTTGAGACATTACTGGTTGGATCCTATATTTGGCTATGAATCTCCTTGTGGATCAAAAGTGAAATCATTAACTGGAAGTGAAAAAAGTTTTTCATCATCAAGCTCTTCATTTGACGAACGTCTTTTATGCGTATTGTAAGTTGGTATTAAAAATTTTAAAAATCAAGAAAACAAAAGTTTCAGCAAAGAATTAAATTACGTTAAATTTTCCAATATATTATTAAATTAATTTTACTTTTAAATAAAATAAAATTATTTTAGACCAGAAGGATCTCATAACGAAATATTTGATGAACATTGGGATAGCTCGGAAGATTCGGCTGATGAATTTGATCCTCACGGTAAAATAAAGATACATAAATTTAATATTAATTAGTAAATCAGAATTTAATTAATTGACTGAAAATAATCATCTCTTTATAACATTCAATATACTTATAAATATTCATAATTCCTTCTATATGGCATTCTTATTCATAAATTCGTTCGTAGCACGAACAATTGAAAAATAATTAGTATTTCTTTTAATAATTTAAACATAATAAATTTAAAAATATATAAATATAAAAATATGCATAATAGTTTTAATAAATATATTTATTAAACTATAGTTATTAAAATAAATGTCATAGATATTAAAGGTTAGACAAAATAGTTATGTTTTTGTTTTAGAAAATAAAGAACCAAAAAAGCGAACATTTCCGCCATTCACATTTTATCAACCATTTGAACAAATATATCGTCCTGCGGATTTCCATGAGGATCGAATTATGACGCGAGTTTTAAAGATGTTACAAAACGGGACTTTAGTTTGGCTATCTAACTACGAGGAAGGTCAATTCGAAGATCCTTAAAGAAGATTGAAATTGAAGTTGCATTTGATTTGACAGTTGTATAAAGTATAGTTCAATGATTTTTTATTATTACAGTTAATATATTAAACAATTTTAAAAGAATATTGTCTAGTTAAACCGAATACGTTTAACATAAGATAACATATAAGATAACAATATAGCTTCATATAATATGTGCATTATAGTAAAAAGTGATTTGATAATTATGATTTATTACTTTTATTTTCATAGTTTATTATTGGAAAAAAATTGAATAATTGATTTTATTTATGACTATATTTTTTTTTATATATTTTTTTTCATGACTTAAATTTAATTGAGTTAAATTATTGAATACAAAAACGATTGCTAATCAGATCTCTATTATAAAGAATACATATTTATATATAATTAAAAAATTATATTTTTATATAAGTAAATAAAATGATTAAATATAAATTAATAACTTTTGATGACATCAAAAAACTAAAAATTTAATAATACTCAAATAATAACTCAAATAATTTAGACGAAGTCAATTTATTTAAAATAATAATCTTTATTCTTTATCCAAATTTATTACCTGATTTTATGATATGTGATTAAAAAATGATAGAAAGAATTACTAATTTATATAAATTATTTCAAAAAATATCATACAACAATATTATTTTTCATTTTATTAATGTTTCTATACATTGTGATATTTTATTTTGACTAATATATGAATAAGTAGAAATATATAAATAATTTTTTTTTTGTAAAATTAATGTGAAAAATAATCAATTCTTGTAAAGTTATTTAAATAATTATTCATTTTACATACCTATTAAATTAAGCATACTTATATTAAAGCATATTTTTATAAATAATCTGTAATTTCAACTTCAACTTAATATTTTCAACTGTGATAAGGAATACATTCCACAGATATATTATTATCCATATGCAATATACAGATTAATATTAATAAACATTCATTTTTATTGTAAATAATTTTAATATCAAAATTGTAACATGATATTTACAATCATGATTTTCGTTATTATATATCTAATAAGTTATATGTAAATATTTCAATTTTATAACAGATCTTTTTACAATTAAAAATAAATAAATTTTATAATATAACAAATTTTTGTTAATGAACGAAAGAAAAAATTATTTTTCAAAAATGCGCATGTATCTATAATCGAGAATCGAAAGTTATGAACGATATCGTCGAATTAAAAAGCTTATTAATTATTATTATATCACATATAGTTACGATCATATTATGTGTTCTCTTTTTTAATTGTTATTTGATAGTTTATTTGATATTATATTGATATTTTTTATATTTATCTAATAATTATTTTATTATTTTCTCCTTTCTAAATCTTTCAAATATTTTAAATAATAATAAAACCAATTAAGCAATTAGCAAATCAAGCAATAGTTTATTTACACGTCTCTCTGAAACATACATTATTTGCACGTTCTGCTTTTCGCAATTTTTCCCTTTTCCTTCTCTTTTCTTCTTTTTCCTTCTTTTTCCTTGCTTTCTTTTCTTTCGCTTTCTTTTCACGTAATATTTTATCTATATACATATAAGTTAAGCATAAAACGAATACACGAATTTAAAGATAATCAAATCTCGTCATAATCATACCTCTAATATACACAGTACATTTACAACATTTACAACATACATCGTTTGGAAGCATTGGTAATAGTTTTTCATGTTTCTTCATCATCATATTTTCCAAAATTTTCCTTGATTCGGAAAAAAAAATCCATTATATTATTAATAACTCTACAACAAGATGCATCACGTTATTTGAAATAAAATTATTTAGCATAAAACGAATATAAGTGATGCATCCTGCTTATTTTTAAATTCTATCGTACCAAGATTCCTCCTTTTTACGCACTTCCTATCCCGATATTCCTGTTCCTTTTCCTTCTTCTTATTTTGAGAAGAGCTTTGGAAAAAGGTAAATCGTTTTCTTTTCTTTTCTTTCTTCTTCGGTTTACGCACCACAAAATTCAATTCTTTGATAGAATCGTCACTGCTACTACTTCGACGATCTATCACGTGATGTTTATAATCATTTTCTTTGCATGAACATTCTCCCGTGCAATAGTCCTCCATGTCTGTACACGAACAAATAATTTCGTCCTTCCATTCCAAATAATCGGTGAAGGTATCTTTGTCCTCTTTGGGTCGCCGCATATGCCTAAATTCGAGACATATAAATAATTCAGATAAAATATTAATAGAAATATGCAATATGACTGAAAATAAAAAATTAAGAATAAATCGTGATATATTTGAAATCAATTTGATATCATGGATTATAAATTTTGTAAATTTGTACAAAATTCATCAATCAAATTTTCAATAATTTGATAAAAAAATCAAAATTGCAATAGCATCGTGAAATTATTAATTTGATGATGAAAAAAAGAAAAAAAAAAGATATGTTATCAAAAAAAATTTGCAAATTATGCTTAGTTTCTCTACGATAATTACTTGAATCGCGTACCACGTGCCTTCGTACTATTTCGTTTGTAAAAGTAGTAGGCAGCGACAAGGCAAATGGTAATAAAGAATAGAATAAGTAAAATTGAACAGTACATCGATGTGTGTGCGATGTAATTATTATTATTATTATTATTATTATTATTATTATTATTATTATTATTATTATTATTATTAGGCTGTCTTGAATGACGATCATCTTTCTTTTTTAACTCACGATGATTCTTGTTACTGAAATAAATAAATATGACTAGTTTAAATAAAATTTATTTAAAATTATTTCATTATTCAAAAAAATTACTTTACTATATATAATAATCATATTAATTTACATAGACTTGAGTATTAACAAAAAATCACTACTTGTTTACACAATCATTCATTTGATATGTGATTAATATGATTCTAAAAAAAAGAAAAAAAAAAAAAACATGGCAAGATTGAAAAATTGTTACACTTTAGCATGTGCTCCCGTTGCTGCAACTGCTTTTCCAACTTTTTTATTTTGTGCGTTAGAATTTTTCTGCTTTCTCTTCTTCTTTTTCTTTTTCTTCTTTTTTTTTTTATGAGCTTGTGCATTTTTATCCTTTTCCGGGATATGCCTTTTCGACACTCTGTGTCCTGGAAATTCTAACGTATCTGCTAAATTCTCTGTATCGAAGTAGTCAATACTGCGATTTTCTCTCATGTACTTTGCCAAATCTGGTCGTCCTAACCATCTTAATATCATTTCCATCGTTATCCTTCCACTTGGTCTCGCATTTGCTACGAAGAAATTATTTTTCATGAAGAATTCGATTTTTAATGTAAAAAAAAAAAATAGGATGAACTAATTATTGAAGATAGTATAATAATATATGATTAATAATAATNAGAAATTATTTTTCATGAAGAATTCGATTTTTAATGTAAAAAAAAAAAATAGGATGAACTAATTATTGAAGATAGTATAATAGTATATGATTAATAATAATAGAAAATAAATAATATATCAACAGATATGTTCACCTATCTCTACATTTTTGATTCTAATTATTTTACTTGGAAAATCTTGGCTCCATTCTTCAAGATTAAGAAGACATTCTTTCGACAATGTCGACATTCCAGTGTAATCTTTATTCATTAAAGTTTCATACTTTCTCACCCTACGTTCCGTTTTCATCGGAGTTACTTCGTATATAGCTTGTACAAGTTGCAAACATTCTACAGGGTTTAACAAGTTCGACAGATATACGAGTTCGTTTTCTTTTATATTGGCGATACATTGTACGAAAAATTTTTCCTTAAACATTAATTCAAATGAAATTAATTCAAATATATGATATCATGTAATTTTTGCAATATAACATCTTTTTAAAAAACAATCATATAAAATATTTCAAATTGATATTTTTCTAATAATATTTATTCTTCTTTCTTGAAATTGAATTACAAAAATTTTATATGAAATGATAACTAATATTGCAAAAGTTAGAATTGTAAAGATAATAGAAATTAAAGTTAAAGAATAAATATAATAAATTCTAAAAAATTTCTTAAAGAGGCGTATGATTCAAAACTCAAAGGGCGCCAAACATGATATTGTGCAGTTAAAAAATCATTTGATTATCTTCACACTGTCTTATCACAGTGTATCGTCAACGTGTTACGCCATGTGATATGATAATAATTTTTATTAAATCTTGTAAAATTAAACGATTAAACAATCATAGATTCTCTTGTAAAGGCTCACCTTGTTTTCGGCAAAAATCACAAATAAAATGTAAATTGAGCATACAAATTTCATTCTAAAATGGGCATGTAAAATTCGTATAAATCGGTGAATTACATTTTGTTGTCAGACGAGAAAATACATTTTTGACATATCCATAATCGACAGTCGTTTTAATGCTATCGATTACTCAAGCGACTATATTTTTCCTCGGTTATAAATATTTTAATGAATCATTTCAAAACCTGATCAATTTGACAAATCATTTTTAATTGCATGTATAATGTGAATTAAACTATGTTCACGTTGTACACATAATATTGCAAAACGGATTAGTTTGAAATATAAAATTGATGGATGGAGTTGCTCGATTGAAAATATTTTAAAATATTCTGTTTCGTCTGTGTCGTTTCTCGTGTAGTATAGTTAAGGAACTGAAGATTATTCTATGTCACTTTTTTTTTAAGCAAATATCAGGTTATAGGTTATGTTGAAATATGTTGTACCAAACGAAGTTTCGTTTTTAAGGTTTGAATTTCCTCATTTACTTACTATATTTCTGCCACTTTTCGTTAACCGATCGATTGTATTTATTACAGGATATTTAGCAGATTTGATTTGAATATAAAAATCAGACAATCAGTGTTACTTTACTCGAAGAATATAATGCATTAATTTAAGAAAACTAGTATTAAGAATCATTAAAAAATGTAATTGAATTGTATTAATTCCTTGGAAACCTCGATGAACTTAAGAAACGCATTAGAAATTGCACTGATTCTTTTTTTACTTTACCTTATCCCTTCTTTCCTCCAGGTATACTTCATTTCATGAAATTGATCAGGCAAGATAAGAATCTCGCTCAAAAATATTTTAAATAAGTAACTTAAATAATTGTAAAAAAAAAAATTATTATGTACCATCTTTTATTTATGTGAAGATCATTACCGAGGTTGATGTACCAGAACTCCAGCTGTTAGCGTCAAACTTGAAGCCTGAAGAGTGTGTCAAACTTGTATCCTTAGGTTCTAATTGTAAGTGAACAAACGTTATTGTTCTCCCTATTTAGAATTTTGAAAAAATATTTTCCATGCAGAATCATATATACGTGAAATATTTAAAATCATTTCTCATAAATTTAACAAAAATGATTCAATGATATCTTTTTAAATGGGCCATATTATTATTCGACAAATGTTTCTAGCAACGTATCGATATTAACATTTATTAAATATCAATACTTCATACATGACTTACAATTAAATTATCGTTTTATTTATATCTACTATTGGATTCTAAATATGATTAAATTAAAACTGATACTACTCTAAAATGACAAGATAAATATACGTGTAACACAACTATATAGTGTTAGTTACCATCGTGATTCATTTCCAAGATGATACACTTTCGATACGATAAAAATACAATTGTCATGTCAAAGATAATATCGATGTCCAATATAATAAAATTCTAATTATCACATCGAGAAGCGATATACGCTCGATAAACAATGAACAAATTCTTTTTTATATAAAATAATAATAATTCGATAAAAAATAATTCGAAGAATAAGATACATTATTACGAATTATTACGACAGCTCCTTTATCGGAAACGCAAATACAAAAATTAGCCCGAGATCAAAGCTGTTTTCGAAGACTCGTGAAATGGATATGCCAATTGAGAACAGTTACGAGGAACACGTATCCGATTTTGAACGATCATCTTAAACGAATCGGAAGAAGAGATTTGGTCGCGTGCCTCGCAGAATTCAGTATGAAAACTACGAATGTTCCAAAGGTGGTTCGTCAAGTTCAACCTATTGGGTAAGATATTGATAATTTGATAATGAATAAATTCTACTTCCTCGAGAGAACTCGAGGAACTTTGATATTTAAAAAATCTTTGACGTTTAATATTTGTTGGAAAATAATCGATAAAACTTTTGTTACAATATAGATATTACAAGCTGTTCCCAACTTCAGACTGTCCGCCAAATTTTAATGACAATCCTCATAACAATCCTCATGACAATCCTCATGACAATCCTCATGACAATCCTCATGACAATCCTCATGATAATCCGTATGTATAAAAATACTAAACTCTTTATAAGAAGAAATGTTTTTTCATCCACTATGCACTTGAGCTATTTCAGAGATTTTTGCCAAATATAAATGTGACTCAAATAAAACTAGAGAAAACACAACACATATGTTCCTAGAAATACTATTTGCGACATCTAGAATAAATAGACGTAAGTTTCGTAATGTTTTCCTCATTCTATAACAATTTTATGATTCTCCAGAGACTATGATGAATATCAACCACCAAATACAACACCACCAAAACCTAAGCTCCCGAAACAGATCGAGAAAATCAGTAATAAATTTTTCTCGGCTATAACAATTTCCTCTTGATCGTGATAAATAAATATTCTTACCATTTGCAGGGTTTACTACTTTCACATTGTCGGTGCAAACTGCAACGCTCATTGTTATTTCAATTATATTAGTTACGTGTTGTTGCACTTTGTTTATAAAGAAAAAATTCGGGCATCTGTTTGATCGATTACGAGGGAAGAAGAAAAAAGGGTAATTATGAGTGTGGTTAATTTGAAAATATTTATTGTAATAGTAAATTCAATGAATAATATAATAATAATAATAATAATAATAATAATAATAATAATAATAATTATAATAATTTGGCTAGTAAATTGATCATGATCGAAGAAGAGGGAGCAGATATATCTAGAAGTTACTTTCTTCGAAAGCCACGAAGGAAAAGGAAAAGGGCGCCATCGTACGAAATGGTGACCACTGCCACACAAAACGCTGCAGTTCCCGTGACGCCTGCGAAAGAAGTGGAAGAGACAACGAAATCACCAGGTTGTCAAAGATGTTTCAAGAAGAAACGAAAGAGAGCAGCGAAAAGACCGCATAGATAAAGCGTGTAATTAAAAAAATGTGTTGAATATATTAAATTCAACACACGAATTGTATAAAGCTCTCAAATGTTCACACCTGTAATTTTATTTTATATTAAATATACTGAATTATCGAAGTACATCTGTATAATGTTATAAAAATAAGGAAATTAATATTACAAAGTCATGAAAATGTTTAATTTGTTTAATTTATTTAATCATTTTTGTAATACAATTCTATCTTTTAGAAATACTTAACGAATCAATGAATGATTCTTCTACATAAACTAACATAATTTCAATAATTATCGAGACTTAAATCACACGATTGATCGAGTTTTTTTAAATTGTGAATCTGTTTTAAAAATCTCGTGAAATTTGTCACACACATTAATTGCGTCCTCTATGAAATTCGCGAGAACTAATTTCTCGCGAAACGAAGAGAAAAGAAGGTTATTTCGTTAATTTCGCGATGAAAGGATTATCGAAAAATGGGCACGAATGGCCCACACGTTTAAGCTTCATTGTTATTCTATTGCGATACGATGTCCTTGCCACAATCGATGTTAATTTAAATGAATTGGAATATTTAGCCGCTCGTCTTAATCACTTCGAGTGTCGACGATTGATAGCCGCACTTCATTACACCACTTACGAGCTACCGAGAGATCTGGCAGGTGCTGGTAAATCGACTAATGATTGAATAGAATACATTAACGATTATTATCTCTTCTACTTGTTGGAAAAAATATAATGTATTCATAGAATCCATCAGAAACTGAAGTAAATCCTTTTCAAGTGTGTAAACAAGCCTACATTCATAGAAATATCAACAATCAAAAATCTTGATTTCAATAAATATCATAATTAATAAATAGATTATATCGTGACTATTCTATTATTTATATTGCAAAATTTATGCACTTTAACCCACCTATCTATTCATTTTCGTTTGTTTTTTCAAGAACGTAATGTGGATGAAAACATCCCTTGCATTCGACATCTCGTGCATTGGAACAGTGCTCCAGCCGAGGGTAAAGGCACCACTCATGAAATTTTGACTCACAGACTTCGACAATTAAGTCGAGATGATCTGGCAGATTGGTTAGGAAAATCCACTTTTAAACAATTAGGGAAAGATCTTCAGAGGGCGATGATAACGACGTTCGAAGAACTCGGAAAACAGGAAACGGAATTACCGTAAGCACAATGGAATCGAAATGAAATCCAAATATATTGGTTAGGAGTGTGCAAATACTTGATGCTTCGGGCAGATTCGGAAGAAGTCGGGCTTAAACGGATATTTAGGACATTTGAAACTTGCATCTCAACCCGAGACACCCGAACTTGTCCGATTTCACTCGAATCTGCCCGAACGCTTGAATACTCACACGCATCCTAAGTATTAAAATCATCCGATAATCTTGATGAGAATTTTTCGAATAACAATCGTTCAGATAACAAATATCTTTTCTCATCAAATATATTTTTATGCAATTGTGAAGACAGAATAAGTTTTTATTATATTAGAAAAAGAATTGATGTCTTAAAAAGATCGAGAAACATTGAAATATTACATTTCTAAAAATATGATAAATAATATAGTTTTGATAAAAAGTTAAATATATTAAATTAAATATTTTAATATACTTTACAGTCATCCTGTAACTCTTGAACCACGTAAACGCGAGAAAGAAGATCCTTGGTTACAAATCGACGTTATTCTCATAGCTATTTTATTAGCATTATTAGGAACTTTGTTAACTCTTATATGTGCCACAGTTATACAAAGAATCAGACATAAAATCAAATACAAGTACGATTATTATTATATTTTTATTTTCATTATTTTTTTTTATATTATTAAAATAAGCGCAAATTTTGTTATCGAAAAATTAAAAAATTTTATAAATCGTAGAAAAGTAAAGCAACAGGAAAACGAGAATGTAAAACAAAATAAAAGAAAAACAAAGAAGAAATACACTGAAAGCAGTACTAGCGGAACTACTGATTATATATATCTCGAAAGCGATTCGGACACGGATGTATAAAAGAATGTTTTGAGTTTGCAATCTCAGGAAGCAGAGTCTCGAATATTTTTAAAAACAGATATCAATCGTTTTATCCCAAGCAGTATTCCACTTCGATGGTAAATTTCGATTTCAACGTGTCCTTCATTATATCCATTATCACTTCTTTCATATCCTAAAATATAAGATAAAAATAATATATAACAAGCATGAAAGAGAATAATTGTGAGCATATAACGTTATATGAATAAAATGTTGAAAAAAAGCTTCTCATATACATTAATCATTTTAAATGAATTTGTTAAATGTTAAGAAAAAAAATCTGTAAAATTTACTAACGCAATCGTTATCTTATAATATTTATTTTGAAAAATAATTCTCGATGTTAAAATGTTATCATTATTTTTCATCTCGAAATCATAGTCACTGATCTTATTATTATAGATTATAAGATTTATTAAATCTCGAACAATAACTATACTATGCACTACATTTTATAATTAATTAAGATATCGAAATATCGTGTATTATATTATCTTTAGATAGAAGTTAAGAAATTATATAAATATATTATAATTATATACGAATTTAGATTTTATTAATTAATAGAAAAGTATATAAATTCTATACTAATATAATGGTCGATATTGAATAAGCAATCAATATCAAATTACAATTTGCACTTATAAAACTACTCATTGTTCTATATATTTAATAGTCGATATTGAATAAGCAATCAATATCAAATTACAATTTGCACTTATAAAACTACTTATTGTTCTATTCTATTTCGCTCGTCGATAAAATCAAACTTAAAGTTATTATTATCAAGAAAAAAATGACCTTCCTCGAATCCGGAAGGCTATTGTCAACTTACGTTGAAAACTTCCGGATACAAGTCTTGACCTTGTTTCATCATGTGTCGTTTCAATCTTTCTCTCGGTTTCAGTTTCGATGGATTTTTTTTAAGTTAACAGTTTAGTAAAAAAACTGAGTAGCATGAATTTATACGTGGGATATTTTTAAATTTTTTACAATTTTTTTTTTCCTTTTCTCTGAGAATCTGAGAACTTTATTTTAATAAAGAATTTATTATTTTTACTAATAGTTCTAATAATTGATCATTGTGCTGATATGTAATAATTCGTGATTAATTATTACTTATATAGAATAAGCGATATACGTACGTCATAATGATTAAATACTACTCAAGGATGAAGATTCCAAAGATTCATCTTTGTTAAAACACATAGATAACTATCAACTTGTGCAATTTATTTAATCGAACTTCCATATCTGATAAATATCAATAAAATATCATTAAAATAAATGAAGCATATTTGGAAATAGGATTAAAGTACGCACAATTCAAGAATCTATTTTATTTATTAAAAACCTCAAAATTAATAAATTAGAGAAAAAAGATCATATTACGAACGAATATTATGATTATTTACGTATAAAATCATTCTCTTCCTTTCATCGTACAATTACAATTTACTAAAATAATCCCAATTGTGATAACCGCTTAATCATCTTTAAAATTCAATTTTTTTTTTTTAATTAACTTTTAATTATTTATCTCCAAATAAAATCCAATTTCCTTTCCTTATAAGTATAATTCTTAACTCAATTATATTACGTTACGATTATTATAATGCAATAAAGATTAATGTTATCAATTAACATTTCCAATTAAAAATATTATAAGCGAAAAGAACGAGCGAATGCGGCAGTAATAAATCGCACGAACTTACAATAAACTGTTGCCTATCCTGACCTCGTCGGCCGTGTCTCTCTCCAATGGTATGCAATATCGCTTCCATTATGTCAACATCGTCCAAAGCATCGATACAGCCGCTCACGATATTTCGACAATGAGACTTGAAACCTTTTATTAGACGATAACTCATCGGTATATCCTTAAAAATGGGAAACACTTTTTGATATTGGGGATATTTTCTGAAATAAAATATTGAAATATAATTTTTAAAATATAAGAAATATTATTTCAAAAATTTTATTTCGAGGAAAAAAACTTATGGAACTTATTTTCTATAATATTCGTTTTAAATTAATTCATTTTCTAAATTGAATATTGCGTAATCTTTTTTATATATATATATATATAATAAATATAAAATGAAACAACATACAATTCATCGACTTACCTTATCATAATAGCGAAACCAGTGTCTATCGAATGCACGCGCAATACGTCCCACGTCTCTCTCACAAATCTCCTCTGGTTAAATCAACTTTCGAATCGATACAATTGTCGTCTTTCGGATAATCGAAAAAATAAGAAATTTGTTGAATATAGAACTCATTTTAACAATTGTCGCGTATCTTCCTTCAGATATTCTGTATAAAATCGTTGTTACTTTATAGCTAAGAATTTATTGTAGCTTCAATATTATTGTAACGCAATTAGTTTATCATAGAGGCCATATTTACTCTCTCTCTCTATACACATATATATATATATATATATATATATATATATAAGTATTGCGTATATTTAAATTATACAACACAAGATGCACTTAGAAGATTATTGTTAATTAAAAAAATAAACTACCAGTATTACTTCGTGTTTCTCATATCTCTCTCACTTGTCACGTTACGTAATTTAATGAAAATATTAAGAATAAATAATACATTTGTTTTTATCCATAATCAAAGAAACTGCTTTCGAAGCTATAACTCGAAACGACCGTTCCTTTGGACCAAAGGAATATTGTCTTTATAAGATGCATGCATGTCGTAATAAATATGTAAATATTCGTGGAACGTGATTTTTTTTTTTTATCTTGCATATAATTCATCATGGTATAAAAATATCTATGATCGGAAATTAACAATATCTCTTAATCTCTTCTACTTGTTCGTAAATGCCATTTTACTTTATATCGTTCGTTAAAGTTTACTTACTCAATCCCTCAATATCTTCAAAGATATCCCTAAAATAATTAAATAATAAATGAAAGAATAAATAAGGAAGAAGTACATCGAGTGAAATTTTATTGAAATTTTATTGAAAAGATCGATATAGATAATAAATCAATGGAAAATTTAACAAATGAAAATTTTTTTTATCCGCCCAAGGTGATTTCATTCGAGAGATAAGAATTTAAAATTATATATATCTATGTATTATATCTAATAGATAATGCTAGATTATTAATATAAAAAGTAAAGAGAGAAAAAAAAAAATGTAATACCGGTAATGATGATAGACAAAACATACAACTAAACAATATTATCTAAACAAAAAGGAAGATAATTTTATTGTCGATTATGATCAATCTATATATTATAGACAACGGGTATAAATCTTGATAGAAATCGGCTGGAATCGTGATGACAACTTCATTTCTTGTGAGTAAATATTACCCGATCAGTAATTTTTGAACGAAAGAGAAACTGAAGAAAAAAATGATCGAATCGTAACAAATATTTGCAGTGGTGGAACAATTATCTAGAAGAGAAAAATTGTGACATAATCGTATATACAGGGTAAGTAATTTATCCTTTTATCTTTTTTTTTTTTTTTTTTTTTTCCCCCCCAACTTTTTTCAACGATCCTCGAATTCGTGTTTAATTTATCGAAAGCTATATCGAAACAATTTCCACGTTTCGCGTAGATATCGTTTCTAATTCTCGTTTGTTTTCGTTCCACCGCATTTCCAAGTTGAAAACGATTCTCGATTCTCGTGTATACTGGCTCGACGACTTGAAACTTGTGCACAACATTTCTAACATTTCGCTTTCGTCTTCTAATAGCAGATCACCTCGCATATGAATAGTGTTCTAATAGAATTTTGAGTGATGACAGTTGAACTTTCGGAACTCAACACTGATACAGAAAAAATATGTCACATTTGCTATCGCGTAAGTATTTCATATCCACCGTCTATTTCGCATCTGCTTCGTTCTTTGTTACTTTCGGTTTATTCTCGATATCGCTCGTCTAAATTCGATCGATCGATCGATCCTTTCTTCGTATCGTACCGATATTTATATGGATCCAACAAACAAAAAAATATTCCACAATCAATTTCTCATCTTGCAAATTATACAGTTTGAATTTCAAAAAAGTCAAGGAACACCGTGAATCGATGAAAAATACGATCGTATTGTATTACAAAGATGCTTTATTTGGAAGCTGATAAAAAAAAAAGAAACGACAACGAAAATTTAAGCGAAAGATAAAAGAAATTAGTTTTTTTAAATTCAAGTCAATTTAAATAAATTCATCAGTTTCGTATTTCTTTAATTAAAATATATCAATTTGTTGCGCGATACACAACGCAAGGTACACAAAATTACGTAAAATATTCGTATATACATACATATATATATATTGTGCAAAAAAATCATTTTAAAAATAAAATAAATATTTCCATATACGCGAATATTTCAAACTTTTGAAATATTCTTCTCTTCTCGTTTCTTTCAACTTCTCTTTTAATTTCGTAATCGTGCAAGTAAGATAACGCGATTATTTATTATATACAATTTTTAACAGATCAAATTAGAGGGAGAGGAAAAAAAAATAATAACGGATGTAAACTCGTCTCGTTCTTCAAGAAGCGAAAACTTGATATATTTTCGCGAACATCATGTCCAAAGTTTTGTTCCACGCCTCGGCTACTTCCGGCGTGTATTGTTTCCCCAACGCTTGGCCAAGAACTTCCAACATCACTTCCTTCAAGTTCTAGAAATTGGGGGAAAAACAGAGAGTTGTCAAAAAAAGAAATCGTCCTTCTCTCTTTCTGTCGTTTTATATATATAAATATTTGTTATGTCGAGTTTGCTCTTTCAAAGCGAAATAAATTTTCAAATTTATAAAAAAGAAAAAAGATCGTCTTGATAAATAAAAAAATATTCGACGAATATTTGAGATAGGGAGAAATCGTTATCGAAAGGAGAAAGGTGTTCGATCTTTTAATTCTTCGTTCCGTGATAAAAGTCAAAAGCAATCTCTTTTCTGTTTCATGTTTATATATATATATATTTTTTCTAATTTTCACTCTCGTACCTGGAATTCTTCCTTCGTTTGGCCGCGTTTTTTATGTCTCTCTACCAAACCGATTAGGCTAGCCTCCATTAATCCTGGGTCGTGCAAGAAATCGATAACATTATTTAAGGCCGTAATTACGCTGGCACAATGAGCTTGAAACCGTTTATTAGCCGGCAATTCGTTCAAGGGAGTGTCCATGAAAGCGGTAAAGTATCGCTGATATTCCGGATATTTTTTAAAGAATCTGAAATTCGTCATTCGTTGAACAACGTTGGGATAAATCGATCGTCAGGAGGGAAAAGGGGGAGAAAAAAAAAAAAAAAAAATATGTTCGGGAGATAGGAAATTTCGGTCGAAATTTCAAGAACGGATAAGACGTGATTAAAGGGTGAATTGAGAAAAAAATCGTATCGATATTGAAGATAACGGGAATAAAAGAGAAAAAGAAATAACATGAAATTGCAACGATGAAGAATAATTTTATCTTTCTTATTTTTTCACATTATCAATTTTTTACATCATCGTCAACGACCAAGGTTATTGATAATGCAACTTCATGTTCTCGAGAGACAACATGTTTCTCGAGATTAAGGAGACAAAAAAAAAAAAAAAAAGAAAATAAAAGAAATATAATAATAAAGATAAATAAACGTTTACAATAATTGGAGCTCGAGAAAATTTCCATTCGAGCGATTTCCCTTTATTACGATACGATCACGATACGAATTACAAAAATCGATTTTACGAATTACAATAATATTAATAATAAAAGGAGTACATACACACACACACGCACGCGCATACACGCACATACACTCACGCGCACACACACGTACGCACGCGCGCACGCACGCACACACGCATCCCGCTCTTAAAAGCAAAACTTACGCGGTCATCACGGCGATCCCGGAAGCCACCTCGTCCTTCCTGACAACTGCCCACGTGTTCTGCACCAATTTCTTCTGCCTCTCGGTCAACCCTGTCGCCTGATCGATCCTGTTATCGTCCGATGACGAAATCCCGAGGAAACGTAGAAACGTTCCCATCGCTCCTCGTCTGTTGGGTATCGTCGTTGCGAAGCGCGTTGGGCAAAAGAAAAGAAAGAAAGAAAAGGAAAGGGGGAAAAAAAAAAAAAAAAGAGGGAGTCCTTTCGAGTCGGGAACAGGCGAGGAAGTGAGTCTCCTTCTCCTCCTCCTCCTCCTCCTCCTCCCCTCCTACGAAATCGAAGGCAAAAAAAAAAAAAAGCATACGAATAATGCTTGTCTGATGATATTATACCATACAATACACACGTGACACTTTATCTTTTGGAGAGGATTGACGAGAGACGTACGAAGGATAAAAAAAAGGGGGGGGGGAAGAAGAAAGAAAGAAAGAAAGAAGGAAGGAAGGAAGGAAGGAAGGAAGGAAGAGAAGAAGAAGAAGAAGAAGAAGAGAAAGAGGAGGAGAAAAAGAAGAAGATAGAACGAATGGCGGATTTTATTTAATAATAAATTCGAGAGATTCGGTGAGACGTCATGATCGCCGGTTATCAAACACGGTCGGGATACAGCGAGCCACCACAATTTACCGTAATTCTGTATGATATGTCACGTGCCACGTACTGTCGTTTTTCAATTCGCTCAATCGCTGACACGGTTGGACGCCGACTACTCGTTCTTCGTGCCCGACTGACGGCCACTGCCTATCTAATGCTATTTTAAATCCACCCCCTCCGCCAACACGCCTCCGCCACCGGCTAATGGCCACGCGGTTAAATGATTAAAATTATTAAAGCCTCTCTTTACACGATCAGCGGCCAACCGGTTAAATCGGTTAACCGATTATTCGACTTGGTTAACGCCTGGTTTGGTCACTGAACTCTCGTATATATATATATATACATATATACATTTTCTCTTTCCTTCTTTTCGGTTCCGAATCGAATTTCGATCGTTCGATCGTTGGACCTAAAAAAGGGGAGGGGAGAAGAGAGGACCAAGCGACGAATGGCCAAGCTCACTCTCTCTCGTTTTAACTCCCCAAATTGCTTTACGATCCACCCGGGTGACATCCGGTTAATTAATTCGTATCGAGTTATCTCGATATGGCAGCCTCGTTAGTTTTAATCGATCATCCTTGCGCGGATGCATCGATGCGCTATCGCCAATTCGTTACAACGCAACCATCCCCTTCCCCGTTTCGATTCTCTTTCCATTCTTTTCTTCAAAGAGAAGAGGCAGGGGGAGGGGGGAGGGGATCGAAAGGATTTTTTTTGTCTTTTCTTTTTTTTTTTTTTTTTTTTTTTTTTTCTTTTTTTTACGATCAATTGTATAAAACATCAATTGATAAAATTGAGGATCGTCATCCGTGAGATAAGAGCTGTGAGACGCGGGTAAAAAAAAAAGAATTAATCTGGAGAAAATTATCTGTTAGATTGTTAAAATATAGGTGTCGTGATTGCGTGATAAATTGTCGCGTAAATTGTTGAAATATTATTAATTTATCGTAGCTCTCGAATGTATATCTTCTTTTTTTCTTTTTNTTTTTTTTTTTTTTTTTTTTTTTAATTGATGATTGAAATCAGTTTTCGATGCATTGCGAAGTATTTATCGAAGTACTTTGCTCAAAGACACATCTTATATCTTATTACTTTGATTACTACTATGATCATTCTTCTCGTGTGGAATAATAATATCACGACGAAATGTTTTTCTTTTTTTTTTTTTTTTT